GGAAGGGACTGGGGTACGTCTTAAGAGTTAATTCATTAAAAGAATGCTTTAGAGTGACCCAAATATGTGTTCATATTATTTATGACTCTACTCTAAAATGTTCTACACTGTTTGTTCAATCTCATTTTACAGCAACCAGGGGAAATTGATTTTATAAGCTTGATTTAAAATCTCTCCTTTCTGTCTCACCTACTGTCGTATATGATATCTGTAAGTCAGAAAGTGGGCATGTTGATAGAGTAGGAGATATGTGTAAATGATACATGATGCATTTCAAGAGCAATTTGAATTAAAGGTCCCTTTTCACTCAGCTCACCATTAAATTGAAAGACGAGATTAATCGTTCCATTACGCAGCGCTCAGAAAAACAACCCCAGAGATTAGCTGTTACAGTGTGACACCACTTGGTGTTAGCCATATGCAAATTCATGTTCCCTCTATTTTCAATAGTAAATCACACCCACACAGAAAAGGAGAGAATACTGCTGGACAAGAGTGGGAAGTGAGCCTATCATTTGAGGAATCTCTTTCACAATCGGCGCTGGCTCTAAATACCTCTGTTTAATTGCTGTGTCATGACAGGATAATTACCACTGTCATTCCAACCATTCAAGGGGACTAACAGGCCTGCAGACTACCTAACACTTTTTGCCTGTTGGCATGGTTCTGCAGGGAACTGTGGAAGAGTCAGGGTGGCATTTAAAGATAAGTGGCTGTGAGCATTAAAAGAAGGAGTGATGTGCTGCCTCAACGCTTATACTGACACTCGTTCATTTGTGTTAATGTACTCCTCACACCTTGCAAGACCACAGCAACACCATCAATGTGTCAGATGTGTAATAGTTTTAACAAGGTTCAAATCCAGACTGGATTGCATTCAGATTACAACATGACTGTGCATTCCACAGCGTTTGTGTGATAGTTGCCATAAATTATTCTAACTATATTCTCTTTTTTTGCTCTTTTTTATCTCTAATAAATACACTGACGCACTTGTCATGGGGCTTTGTCGAAAATCTCTGCACACATTATAAGTGCAGTGTGTAAAACCTGCATTTTAAATGTGATTGCTAAGACATGGTGACATTCTGCATGAGCTCCTATCAACATCAGCTGTCCTGAGAGCTGCTCTCACATTGCTGACAACTCCTACAATGCATGAAGACATTAGTGAGGCACGCAGGGTACCCAGTTTAATTTAGAAAGAGCTAGAAAAAAGGAAGAAAGGGGAAAGAAAGGTGCATTGTTGTGAGTTTCACATGGACTGAAGAAATCAGCATGTTTCACAGCATTATTGGCAGGCTACGCATGCATGCTCGTTTGCACAGGCAAAGTGGTCCCTGGAGCTGATGCATTTCAGGTGCTAAAAGGAGAACCATAAGCCATTGATAGAAAGGGCTTTAGGGAATGCAGCGGGGAAACAAAAGCTGATCGATAACTATGTGGTCAATAACCTTTATGATCAATAACCTGTCCACCTACACAAAGGACATATTACACACTATTGGATTCTTTTTTTCTTTACAAAGCAGTGTGAAATGTGAGAAATGTTTGGCCATGTATGGTTCGCACAAGTGAATTGTTTTATCTTTGACACAGAGTTGATGGTGTTACTTTACAGGCCCATTACTGAACTGACCTCCTCACTGATTTATTGATGTGGGATTTAAATGTGCAACCGAAGAGAAATCAACTCGGCAACAATGTCAATACTCGCCATGAGTAAATGTATCAGTGAGCAGCATCCTTCTTTGTGAGACGTTTTTAGAATGCAAATCACACGGAAAGCTTAATTTATCGTGGCAACCCTTCTCCTTAAGGAATTTGACATCCTGCCCTCGGGTCAGAGATACATGTGCAACAGGTTTAAATTCATCACACGTGTACTTCCACATAAACATTCTTAATAGACTTTTTTCACAGCAGCCTTTTTCAAATGGAATCACACAGGTGCTACCAATGATTCTGATTAAGGTTCTGTTCCATTAGTGTAGCAGAGCCTTTCCAGTGAGCCAAAATGCACAACAGCAGCATTCCAACTCTGTTTGACCTGAATGGAACGGAACCTTAATTAGTATCATTTGTAACACCTGTGTTTACCCTACTGTTTCATGTCAAAATGGCAGTTTATGTTATTTTACCTTATCCATGTTTTTGCTTTGGTCATTTTTAAAGATCTGCATTGTTTCAATGGTATCAGCACTTTTAATGTCATCTAACGACTTACTTTAGCTAAAAACTGTAGTAATATGATGTTGTATAGAATAACATGCTGGTTCATTGTTTAGTGCTGGTGGAGCCCTGTGGACTGTGAGGACCTTCTGACACTCACTGCTGGACCTTTTTGGGCCTGTGTGCTGACCCAAGACATTAACTTCTGAATGATTCCTCAACAAAAGCACCTCTGTGGGTTCATGTGCACTAAGTCAGTTAGAATACGTTTTGCATCACTGTTGAGAGAAAGGAAAATCATTCGCTCATGGGCACAGCTCATCTCGGCTACGCATGACTTAAATAAAACGTGACTCTGCAGATGATCTATTTGTGTTACACACTTTTGATTTTGCAGATTATCTTGTAGCATGGTTCAGACAAACATTCTGTATAACAGGATTTTATGAGCTCAGAGCATTGAACAGGCATATTTTCACACTTATCTGTGGTTGAGGTGTAAATAAGGCTGATTTATATAAGCTACATATTGTAGAAGTGGAGATATTTACTGGCAGGGCTGAGCTCAGCAGGGCTACCGCAAAAACATATACTACAGATAAACAGCTTTTTGGTCTAAATGAGGTGTTGATTATAATACAATATCCCTCATCAGGAAACAGAAACACTCTGCAGATCCAACAGTTGGTTCTCCTATTTATAGTGTTGGGAGAGAGTTGTTACTTTTCACAAATATGGATTGGATTGTGTAGGAGCATAGAATTATCCAAAATGAAATTACTGCAGTTGTGTTTGCCAAACAGAGATTTTACAGCCAGAACATTCACCTTGATATCCTCTTCCATTTAATGTTTGTTTCACACAGTGGCATCATTTTCTATCATCATGTATATGAGATACGCTGATTATGCTGGGAGTTCTTCCAAAGGATTACACCAATAACAAAATGTTCTTTATGCTTATATTTATCTGATGAGCCAGTTCGTATATTAATCTTCTGTTTAAATTCATACGTCCAGTGAATTTACCAAAAAGACAAAATAATAAGATTATAATGCCATCTAGTGGATACATCACACATTGCAAACAGTATCCTCCAAAAACAGAGAGGTGATGAGTATAGCAGATACAGTATATACAGGTATATACAGGCCTATTCACTAAAACATATTTCTATGAGAAGCTTTTCTTCTGCTAGAGTAGATTTCTCCTCTGTTTGAACTATAGTTTCAACAAGAGAGCTTGTATACTTACTTATACTTGGATTTAAATTATACACAGGGATACATGTAATGTTTGCTTGAACAACTCCCAGTCATGTCTTCAGTCCTGATACTTTATTGTACCTGTGATTTCAAGTCTGATATTGGTTGGAGTATGTTATTATGGCATGTGGGAGAGGATACATTTTACATGCTTGTACCCAGATGCACATAGTCTCATAATCCATCCATTCTACTCACTTTTTGTTGATTGCTTCTATAAAATTAAAATGACTTTAATCATTTGTACTGTGAAAATATGACTTTCTTGTCTGTGTCAGTTACATGCTTTAAAAACATACAATTCTTGCTGAATGTTTGAGCATACATGCAAATACCGTAGTGTTCATGTAGTACTTTTCAATATTGATCTTGGGCAGTTTGACCAAAAAATCTCAGTACAAATTTCCACATTCTGGAAATTTTCCACAGCTCGCAACCACATCTCTTGGCCTCCATCAGCGAGTGGAGTTTGCTCAGTTGCCATGGAGATGGTTCCGTTGTAATCACGTGACCTAAGTATGAAATTCCAGCTACATGATATCAGGATCACATCATCACATGTTTGCCTGTGGGCAAATACAAATGTGCTCTGTGACCATCCTTCAGCAATGCCTTTGTATTTTAAGGATCCCTGCATTCTGATCTTTAACTGTGATTAAGTGCACTGTGCATATTAAACACTGTAATTCTATGATATTTTTTTTACATTTGATTCTGATGGGCATTATCTTACAGGGATTTCTTCACAGATTTGTGTCCAGAAGTGTTGTATCTGTGTTTTGACTGGCGTCCCAGACGTTGACCATGGACATTTATTCTTGACCTTGGAAACAGTGTATGTAAAACAATAATCTCAGCTCCACTTACTAGCTTTTTGGGAGATTTCAGTTGTGTCTCATCAGCAAATAGATCTCACTCAAGTAGAGATCAAGGAAGGAACTTCTGTCATAGGTACTATGGGGGGTTGATGGTCATGTTATTCAGAGACAATAAAGCCAGAGCTTAATCTGTCATGACAGAGCCCCAGTGAGGTCAACTATGGTGCGTGATAACTGCACAAACTACACAGATTCACAGAAACTATTTAGCAGATTTTGGTTGCATGCACTCTGAAAGTTGTTCCATAACGTTTTACTGACTCCAGAGTCTCTCACCGAGTCTTTGAAGAAATAATATGGCTTTGGCTCTTAAAGTTCTTGATGTAAAAACAAAAACAAAGTGAAAATTGTGCCAGCACACACACTTGCACATTGTGTAGAGGCCAGAACAGAAATTCAATTTTTGTGCAAGACTGGATTACCCCACACTGGATGACCATAGATTCAATGATTCAAGGTTATCACTTGTTGCTACTTTAAAAAAGAAATCTATTATTTAGGCCTAAATACATATCAATATGCAATATAAACAGTTTAAGCATACCTTAAATAAAAGAAGCATGAATTTAAAGAGGGTTTCTGTGATACTAATCCTCCCGGACTACACTACCCAGCGTGCACCAGCACTGGCGTACATCGGCGCGATTGGCTGACGTAACCCCGCCCCTGATACTCCCCTCCTAGTCCTCTGGTTAACTGACATATTTTACTGCAGTGGAGCTCACCGAGAACTCCGTGAACAGCCACAGAAGACCGGTTGTCAGAAAATAAAACTATGGCGACTCACGCTAGCATGTGCTGCCGCTTGTTTGATAGACATAACAGTTTAACACATTTCAGGAAACTGGTACAGTGCGTGAATGGGGACATTCAGCGACTATACTCCAGTGCTACGCACAAGGAAAATAAACTTGAACTTGGAGACTCGACTTTATCTGCTCCCAACTTAGCCGCATCTCCGAAAACCAGGTCAACACAGGTAATGCTGACTCAAACACACTTCCTACAAGCCATAACTGGTGCTGAGGTTTTCACTGTGAATGTGTAACCACAGGCTGCTTACTGGAGTCACTAGCTAACGTTACTTTATGACTGAAGGCATGGTGGGTGAAAGTGGGGTCAGTTAAACAGAGCCACAAGCTCTGCCCTGCTCAGGCTAAACTAGATAACACTATTAGGCATTAAACATTAAACTAGCAACAACAACTGTGTTGGTAAAGGGGTTTGTTGGAGGACACCAGAGATTTTACAGTATGGCAGGTGCTTGTACCCCTCACAAAAACACTGTAGTAGTTGGAACGCACTAAAGAAAATGTCTTTATTAATACATTTGAGTTGGCTATGGTAATCTTATAGTGAAGTTATAGGAAATTAATATAGTTATACTGTATTTTTTATATAGTATTACTATAGTATGTTCTACAGTTAATACTATAGTTAATACTATACATTTACTAAAAGATCATCATAGTATTACTATAGGAATGTTATATTGTGTGCTCAAGAAACAACTACAGAAACACTATATAATATACAATACTATATGGTATAGGAATACTACAAAGCTATAGATGCATAGTATAACTAATGAAATATTGTAGGGCTACTATAGCTAAAAAAACATAGTAATACCGTAGCTGGTAAAAAAAAATACCTACTATAGGACATAATACAATTCTTATAGTAATGCTATAGTTTGAGACTATCAGTGGGGTAAAGATGGCTGTTGTTGAAGGTATTTTCATCCAGAGGATCAGTGAATTTTTGAGTCAGCCTCAGTTACTGTGTCTTCTACTCAGAAACAAACAGAGAGGCATACATATTCAGTATTTAATTTGGTCCTGTGATTAATTGAAGTGTGTGTAATCTACTCTTGACTCACGTGTTTGCGTTTGTGCTTATAGCTTCTGACATAACAGCGAGCCCACTGTTGACAGTCAAAGGTCATCAGCCATTTACAAAGCCATGTGCAACGCCCTCAGTGTGCCTGACTTAGTGAAGCCTTTAGATGACTTGATCCTCGTATGTAAATGGAACTAATTCAGGTGTATCACAGCCCCAAGTGTGTCATATCTTGCAAAAACGAATCAAACTGTTTTCTCATTTAGGGACACAGATTCAGCCTCAGACTAATATTCTTTCACATAACACGAATAAGGATAAAGTAAATGCACAGAGAACAGAAGTAAAACAAGACATAGCAGTGCTACTGTACCCTCGTTATGAGCCATTTCTATGTCATTCTAGTGCCATTGTCCTGTTGTCTTTATCCCCAGGAGAGGCTAAGAGACAACAGCATACTACCCTTTTCAGCATTCTTGACTGACAACTTTGGCCGGAGGCACAGCTACCTACGCATCTCTCTGACTGAGAAATGCAACCTCCGCTGTGAGTAGATGTTCCCACTGTGACATATTAAAGGTTACCTCAGTTGCTCTGGTTTATTTTCCCTGGTGCTTATCCAGCTACTTGAAGTAATAATGATTCTTCTGCTGCTGCTGAAACCATTAACACTAAACACCACCACCACACCTTTTACTGATAATGTTAGATTGCACTGATCATCACAGGAATCCAGTATGTAAAGCCAACATAGATTCTGTAAATAGAATGGCTTTTAACCTTTTTCTTGTTTATCTCAAGGCCATCTTTGTCTTTATTTGCTCAAGGCTTGTTATTTGGATGCATTGTTATGGATTTATATATTTAAATGGAACTACATGGTATGTAAAATTGTATAAAAAGTAGTTTAGTTTTAGAAGGATACCTCAATGTTAATTTTCCACATATTACTTACAGTCACCTCTGTGGCACATTGGTCTTGGTTTCAATTCCTAACATAACCTCACTTATCTGAAAAAAGGGAAGCTTGTGATAATGTAGGTTAAAAGCATCTCTTGAGTGGAAAATTACATCTTTGGTGTCTTGTTCTCATTTTACCTTTCACCTTACTATCCACCTCCATTTTCAGGTCAGTACTGTATGCCAGAGGAGGGAGTGAAGCTGACACCACGGAGCCAGCTGCTGTCCACTTCGGAGGTACTGACCCTGGCTCGCCTCTTCGTCCAGGAGGGGGTGGAGAAAATCCGTCTCACTGGAGGAGAGCCCCTCATCAGACCTGATGTGCTGGATATCATCTGTAAGCAGCTTGTGAAAGATTAAGTTGATAGGTGTTTCTTTTTTTGAGTCATAAAGGGAGGACATTAACAGCTGTTTTGAGTTGTTTCCACACTTGTAACCAACTTGTGACAAACACAAACTGCTGTATGCGCTTTACCACATGACTAAGTGGATGCAGTGACAGTCTTTTCAGAGGAATGATTCAGCATTCTCTATCCGAGGCTATCAGTGATTTATGTGCTAATCCTGTTGGCGAGACTAGAACTTCCCAAAGTGACACCAGGAGAGGAGCAGGTCTAATCTTCCAGGCATGCCTTGAGGTTAAGGCATACTACATGTGGAAGGGGAAATGATTTGTATTTGTTACACCGCAGATATGTGCCTAGTCTAATGACATATTATCACACCATTTTGATTTTACAGCCTATAGATGAACCATTGCATCCTCGGCCACAGAGGATGACTTTATCGGAACATTAAAGCATGACGTGAATGAACAAAGCAATGTGGTGTCACTGATTGGTAATGCAATTATCACTGTGTCATGTGAGAGGCCACCACTGTGACCTCACATGACCTTCAATAAAGTTTAGTGGAGTGAATAATTTGCAAATGTAACAGGAACCATTGTGGTTGTTTTTTAAATTTGATTGTATGTGTTTTTAGGGATGACAGTTATATATGCTTATATGTCTTTCAGTGTTGCTAGTATTCAGACATCATTCTTAGACATTTTCATATTACCACTGCAGTTTTACTTTTCAGTCTAAAGGTGTCATGTATTAGCAAGATAGCTTGAGTCTTGTCAGTTAGCTCAGTTAGCTCAGTT